ATATTGAAAGGAGGGTTTGGAGGAGGGGGTTAAAGAGGAAGGAATATGGAATCAAGTTGGAGAAAGGGGTCTACGAGTTTATTTAACTGAATGCAACAAATTAAACAGTTTAAAACAAATTAAAACAATTTAAAACAAATACAGTTTAAAACAATTTAAAACAAAAACAGTTTAAAACAAATTAAACAAATTTAAAACAAAACTAAAAAGCTGTCTTATAACAACACCATGTTTCAAATTTTAACAAAATATTAGTTTACTGTTACTTTTTTAAAGAAGTAACTAGTTTATTTACCTCTCTTAAACTCGAGTGATCATGTACAATGGCAACAGTTAGATACTCAAAGTAGTCTTGCTCCACAATGTAAATAAATACCCATCTTTGTCTCTTACATAATAGGTACAGAAGAAAGAAGACTATAATAATGTCAAAGATATTTAAGAAAAATTGCTAGTTATAAAGATGCTTGCTTTCTTGCTTGGTTTTCAACGGGAACTCAAAAAATATTCATGTTTCCTTTGTTTATCGGACAGCAGGGCTGATAATGAGCATTACAAGAAAGTTCATCGGTCTACAAGAGTGAGCCTGTAGCCAGAATGGTTCAATGTTCTTAAGTAGCCTTTTATTTTTACTAGCTTTATATTTCAAAAAAGTCTAACTGTGCGTATTTTGTGATGTACTTCGTAGATTTATAGTAAATTGCAAGGATCCTAATTAGAAACAATTTGCAAAGTTTATTGAAAAATTCAAGAAACTGGGTTATCATTTGTCCATAAATTTATTATGTTTCACTCCCATCTAGATTTCTTACCTGAATACTTGGGTAATGTCAGTGAGAAATTTCATTACTAATTGAAAAAAAATCTGCGCTTATGCCAAGAAAATATCAAATTAAGTATAAATAAAAAACTATCAATGTTACAACAAAATAAATGCGGTTTTGAATTCAGTGGTATAAGTAAACATTAAAAAATCTGAGTAGGAAAGACCTTTGTTACATTGTGTAAGAAAAAGTTACGCACGTGCAGCAATTTTTCTTCTCAGTAATTTTACCTTTAAGTTAATAAGGTATTTCTAGTTTTTTTTTAATTAAAAATAAAAGCACTAAAAGATGATAAACACTTGTCTCAATACGTTTTTAATGCTAAAAGCATTCAAAGTTAGAATATTATTTTTAAAATTTCTAATTTCGTTTTTAAATATTTCTTCACTTTTCCTTGATAGAACATTTTTATTTTATCATTTTCTACTTACTTTAAAGTAATTAGAAAATAATTCAAAAACAAATATTTCTTGTTCAAAACTTAGGTTTATTAAAATGTTAAAGACAACTTTCAATTTTCTTAACCTTCTTAAATTTGGCCTTATTGTTAAAAAACATCGTCACGAGCGGTAAATTTAATTAAAAAATGTATCCGTTTAGGCAGCTTTAGGCAGGAAATCATTTAACCACATTATCAATACCACGCTTATATTTAATGATACACTATTTTAAGCAGTTAATACAGATTGATTGTTTGGCTTTAATGGAAAAAAGTGTTTTTTATCACTCAAAATTAACGTAATTCTCTTAAAAATAATAGAAAAATATTATTACAAATAAGTTTAAATATTAGCATTACTGTATTCAGTGCTGATCGGTTCTAGGACTGGCCTTGACAATATTTAAGTTATTTACGAGGTAATAAATAAACTCGAAGTTTTTTAAAACCTGAAATCAAAGTTTTAAAATATATGTTTCAAACAGAAAGATTTTTAGTACGGGTAAAGTGCACGCGTTATAAGCGAGTGAGTTTTTTCCAAGAATATAAAGGGGTTTTAACAGAGTTAAAAGCTTTTTTGACAGAGCTAATGTTGTTAAAAACCTTCATGTTCTTAACGTACGCCATTTTTATAACGAACTTTTTTAAGTAAAGAACACTATTTTTTTTTTTGCGCAACAACCTTGTTATGCTCGAGTTTTTTATGAGTTTTAGGCTTAAAAGTATAACAACAATTTATAAAAGAGTAAAAAAAAAAAAAAAAAAAAAAACTATACTAAAAACTATACGTAACCTCCCCTTGGCCCCCTGAGCCTAGAGTAGGTACGTATAAATTTTAAAAAAAGTATTTCAATTAAATTATTTGCTTATCCAAAGTATAATACAAATATAAAAAAACGCTTGGCCCGAAGAATATAAAATTGTTAGTAATATCAAAATAATTTAACGCATTATGACACGATACGATGTCTTGCCTTAGGGTTATATATATATATATATATATATATATATATATATATATATATATATATATATATATATATATATATATATATATATATATATATATATATATATATATATATATATATATATATATATATATATATATATATATATATATATATATATATATATATATATATATATATATATATATATATATATATATATATATATATATATATATATATATATATATATATATATATATATATATATATATATATATATATATATATATATATATATATATATATATATATATATATATATATATATATATATATATATATATATATATATATATATATATATATATATATATATATATATATATATATATATATATATATATATATATATATATATATATATATATATATATATATATATAAACATTATCTTTTGGTCTTGCATTTTTGTCTTGGTCTTTAGATCGGGTAAATAGAAATAAATAAATAAATAAAAAAAAAAACTCCTTAAGTTTTTATTCACGTAAAGCAGAACAATTACTCAGTAAAAGCAATTGCTCATTTTTATTCACCCGGCCTTTTGTCTTAAAATTTACTCTTGCGCCTTGGTCCCGATAACAAATTAGTGTTTTATTTTTCCTCTTGTCTTGTCTTTTGACTCCCGATATAAAATATTTATTATAAAACTCTTAAGAGACACTAGGACTGAAAAACCTATTAAAACAATTGGTATGACGCACTGTGTTTCATACATCTATACACTTTCCTTAATTCGTTGTTTCATTAATTGCTTAATTGAAGAATTCATTAATTTCATTATGTAAGTATGCACGGACATAAAACACGCAACTAAAAACGTATGCAGAAAAAATTGTTTGCCAGTAATAATTTTTAAATCGTCTCCATTGCAAATGAAACAATTGTTAAAAAATATAATTGTTGCCAAAATTTAAATGTTGCAAAAATTTTAAAGTCTGAACGTAGTAGTTGTGAAAGCTTAAATGTCAGCATCAGTAAATGAAGCAACGTCGACTTCCTCAATATCAGATCTGGTCATATGATTTATAAAATATCAACTTATCATGCAGACCCTTCAATGCGTCATCATTACAGGCTTTAGCAATTTTATAATCTAAAATAGAAATACATGCTTTTCCGAAACATATCATAATAGATTCAATAAATGCTGCAAATGATTTAATAAAGGCTTAATTCAACGGCCGTTTAGCTTTGTGTTTATCCGACGACCATGTTGCTAATAATGAGTTAACTAAAACCATCTTAACTTTATATATTCTAAAAATTTTTAGTTTTGTATAATTGATTTTAATACTAAATACAATCTACAAATGTAAATTAAATAAAGTAAGTGGCTGGAGCAAAAAGAAGACATAATTGTGTTGTATCACTGAGCCACGTTTTTACAGAGCCAGAGAATATTATACATTTCTAAAGATATGTATTATTCGATAATACAAAATCTGGATTAAAACATGCAATAGGACGTTAAGAAGTAATTAGTAAATGCTAACGGTTGAGCAAGACAATTAAATTATTTTTCATAACATATTTATGTATTTAAATAATTTAATCTAATTTAAACTAAACTGCATCTTTTAATTACATGTCAAGTACTATGAATTCTTCAGTTCTCTTAAGGAAAAGTAAAGAAATATTTAACAAAAAAAAAAAAAAGAAAACTTGGCAATAAATTTTCATATTGGCTGTGATAAATTTGGTAAAAATATTAAATTTATTAAAAATATTAAAAATATTAATTACTATTATATAACTTGCAGGAAAAAGATGTAAATAACAAGTTTTAAAAATGTAATTCTAAAAGAAAGTTTGCGGTTTATAGTTTAGTTTTAAATTTTTTAAAACTTGTTTACTTTTTACACTCGGTGACTAGCTTTATAAATAAGTTTTTAAAACTTGTTTACTTTTTACACTTGGTGGCCTTATAAATAAAAAACGTTAAAAAGTAAACCAAAGTAAAAAAATAGAAACAGCTTTTAAATTTATATCGTAATTATCCATTTTCGTTTTTTGCCATAAAAAACAATTACTTAACAACTTTTTTTAACAAACCATGTTATAGTCTAGTTTATAACAATAAAAACTAAACAAAATAATTTTCCCTCGTATATTTTTAAATACTAAATAAAAACTTCCGATTTGCTGCCCGCGTTTATTTAAAAAAGTTTAATAATTTGCGGTTGCGTAGACAATGACTTTAACATTGAACATTCAAAATGTTGATACATCCTAATATATAAGATACTGACTAAATAAAGATTTATTAAATTTAAATTTTTAAAGCGTTTATGCAGACTCCCCTCTTTAGAAAATAGGTTCTTATAAAAAAAATTTAAATTTTTTTATATAAGAACCTTTTTTCAAAAATTTTAACAAAATATTTGTCATTAAAAAGTTAATGTTACGTTTTTTTAGTCAAAATCAACTTCTAAATGACGCTAATTTAAACCAAGTTTCATCTTAATTAGGATTGTTATTGTCTTAATCACATATTTTATCAAGTGTATACATACAACTTTTTGTTATTACTTTGGAAATTTATGATATCTTCTCTAAAAAATTAAAAATAAAAACGTCATGGTACGAGAGTCTTTATCGATTTGTTTTGCCGAATTAATATTTTATAGAGAATAGAGAATTATTTTAGCTCGACTGATTAAAAAATTTAAAACAACAACTGGTTTAAATAAAGTTTTATAAATTTTGAAAATTATTATTTTGCAGAACTTAGTTAAAAAACCATGAAGTTCAAGATATCATTTGCAATTGTTATTTTCATTAACACGCTATTACCAGGTTAGTTTATTTATTATTTTTAGTTTAATTACTCCAAATAAATATATACATGCATATACTTTTTAGCAGAACTCTAATTAATAATTTCTAAATATAGACCTTTAGTTCTATTTATTGTTTCAATTAAATACTTATCTTTTTTGCAAGGGGTGGTACGGAGCATAAATCTGTCCGTTTTAAAGTTTTAAATAAATTTAATGTCTGTTTACATGAGCCAGCTTAGAAGTTTTTTTACTTTACTGATGCTTTTTTTCTTAATTACATTTTAGCTTACGAATTTCCCGCAGCACAAAATGCTTAATTAATATATTTTTTGCTGTCCTGTTAATGTGTTTTGTTGTCCACGAATATGGTATCATATTTTAATTTTTTCCCCCAGAAATCCAGAAATTTGGACGCGTATTTATTAGGTTAGCCTTTAAATTACGGGAAAAAAAAGGTACGTTGAGGACAGCTGGGGTGTTAAACTAACCCAATTCAAAGTCTTTTTTATTTTATATACAGAAACGTTTGTACTTTTTAAAATTATTGCCGTCATAAACAATAGCATAAAATACTTTAAATATTACTAGTTTGCAATACTAATTTATTATTAAGTCCAAAACCATTATTTTGAGATAATGAAGTTTTTGCGTAATAGATAAAATAATAAGTTTTTATGTAAAAATATGCTAAAATAAAAAATCTTCATAACTCGTTAATAATTAATTCATTAAATTTGTGTGGTATATCAAACGATAGAGAATTTAAAATACTAAATTTTGTGGATGTAGCAATTAAGAATAAACTCGCCTAGAGTAGTAAAATAACTCAACACCCTTTAATTAGTATTTTTATCATTACTTAACCGCTGCATATTTATTTAATGAATAAATATATATTTTTTACAACAGATACGTCATGTGATATGATACCTTTAACATTTTTTTACACTGAAGCAGTACAAATCTTCAATTTAGTTATATTTCTCGCTGCATTAAATAAGTACCCATACCGTTTTACTTAAAACCAATGTTGTTTTAAATTACTTTTGATACTTTTTAAACTGCTTTTCCCCTTCCTATTTAATAATTTTCAAAGTTAACATGGATGAAATTGAATTTTTTTTCAAAGATTATTCTTCATTCAGAGACTCATTTCTCCTTTTTCATTCTGTGAGAACCCTAAAAAAAGAAAAACGTTTTGGAATAGAAAAAGAAAACGGGATGGTTGTCCCTCTACTAAGTCTTAGGTTTCACAAAGCACGGATTAGAGAAACTTAATTCTAGTGTGGCTTTCTGTCAAATTATTTTAACTTTTTAACAGTAAAAATAAATAAAGAAACTGCTATAGAAAGATTGTCACAAAACTACTATATATAATTATATACTATATATATATATACTGTAAAGTTATATAATATATATATATATATATATATATATATATATATATATATATATATATATATATATATATATATATATATCAATATATATATCAATATATATTATATATACTATATAAATACCATATATATACCCAAAGTTATATAATTTTTGGTCATCGTTAGAGGAGCAAATATGATTTATGTATTTATTAGCTGATGATTGCCGTGTATGACAAGAAACTTTAAGTACTATTAATAATGTTGTATTTCATTTAAACAAAATATTTATTACTCTATTATTGTAATATTGAGCACTGTTTTACGTTCAAGAGTTTTTGTATTATTTTCTAATTTTCTTCGGCAACATAAATGAAACAATTCTAAATATATAGTATAAGTTCGTTCCCACCTGTCGAAGAGCACTGAGAGATTTTTAGGTTTATTAGGTTATTAACGTTGAAACAACGTCGGAAGCGTTTGGTGACCGTTGTTCTGATGTCTGATAAAAAGGTAGCAAATATTCGCTTTTTTAGTCTAAATTTTCATTTTAAACATCAAATTAAAGTACTTTTCTTTAATTTTCAACCAATGTATTCGTAAAATTCCCTAATCAAAACAAATTTTGCTAATTGTAAACACACATTTAAAATACGGGGCAAGGCGTTGGGAAACCTACAATAGCGCCAATTTAGCTGCTACTGCATCTTCAGACACTTAATTGGAATAAGAGTACTCCTCCCTATGCAGCTCATACAACTGTATAAATCTAATTCTTTGTTTTTCTAGTCTTTCTAATTAACACTCAAACTGACAAATATTACGCTACAATGCATTCCTTTTAATGGCTTTATTTTCTACTTTTATTTTAGGGGCAACGAGTGATACGATTGAACTAATAATTAACACATTGTCAAAACCGTCAGCATCAATTACATGGGAAAATGAGAGAGCAGACATCTTTTCAGTTTATTTTTATAAAAAATCTAGTATTCAAAAGACTATTCAAAACAATGAAGAAAGAAGAAACTTTACTAAATCCAAAGCACTTATAGTTCTCGGTATTTTGAAATATTTTTTGAAATATTAAGTGACATTAAACTACTTATTAGCAACGTAGTTTTTAATTTTTTTTTTCTTCCATTGAAATGAAAGAAATTAAAATTAAGTCAACTTTGTTATTAAATTTTCTTTAACAAATTAATCACAATAGTGAAGCCTGAATGGTTGATTTATAAAGTTACGGCAGGGAAACCTGCTAGTTTTTAAATTTGTGAAACTGTTGCTTTATATTTTTCTCAGAAGATTACGGTACCGTTGGATAAATTTTTTTTAAAACTTTACAATATCTTTAGACTAATTGTTTTATAAACATTTTAACTTAATTTGGACAGAAGCAGGGACTTGTACAATATGCATGCTATTTTAATTTTCTTAAAGAAAAGCCCTAACAAAAATTTTTATTTTAGGTTACTTGAGTATTCAAACACATATTTTTTTTATCATTTTATTTTGTGTGCGTGTTAATGTCACAATAGCTAGAAATATTTGATGCCTGTTATTTCTCTTCAAAATGTATTTAATTATAGAAACACTCGGAAGCAATTTATTTTTATAAAAATAACTACATGAAATCGGCAAATTTGCAACTTCCATACGTGACCATACATGAACTGCGTTATTTATTCATGACTTTACTAATGAACACCATTCTTTGTTTACAAAATATTTATATAGGTTAGAATTAAACGAAAGTAAATTTAAGACTGCCAGTTTTATTATTATGAAATTATTAGACAAAACATAAACATATTTCCGTGCGTGATTTTATGGAATCGCCCATTTACAGTTTTTTCCGATTATTATTACTTTTCCGATAATTATTAATTTAATATTATTCTTAAGTTTATTATTAAACCGTCAAATGACTTGACATAGAACAAAATTAATCTTTTTAAAACCTGGGTTTGGGTAAAATGGGGGAAACCCAGGGATATTTACGCCCAATAACCCATTACAGTAAAGTATAATGCATTTTACAAATTTCTTCAATTTTCGGAAGTTTAAAAAAATATTGCAAATACTTAGGCTTACTCATAATTTCCAAAAATTTTAGTTTTTATATATTTTCGAAATTTTTTTGCGTCAAAGAATTAATTACCAAGACCGTCACGTTTTCTAAAAAAAAGTACATATTTACTACAAATTACATTTTATATGTTGTTTATTCGTAGAAAGAACCAGATAATTAGTTTAAAAACCTTGGTTATTGTCGTATCAATATGACACCTTACGGTATTAGTATCAGGGTAACGTGACACTGGTATCGCAGTGTCTTCTTAACATGTTCTTAACATACATTTGTATTTTTTTTTTTTTTTTCTATTTCAAATTACTAATTATTATTAGTAATTTGAAATAGTCAATTTATATAGTAATTAAGAGTTGTATAATTGATTCATATAGCATAATTTAAATTCTCGTCAGATAACATATTTCATTCCGAGTTCAACAAACATCTAATTAACTAAACCTCCAAAAAGATATCTTTCTTGTATTTTGCTCATAATAAATTCACAAATTGACATTTTAAATTTTTTTCTCTAATCGAAATCAAACGAGACATTCGACCATGCGATTCTTTTTGTTGCCGGTATCATTAGTTATCAAATCAAAATTGACGGAAGCGACGTAACTATATAGGTTACACATTATACAAGACTCTGCCTTTTGGTATAGACATAAAATACCGTTTATGTAGCGCATAAAATATTACAATATTATAAAATACCGTTTATGTAGCGCATAAAATTTGTCAAAAAAATTTATCATAAACTATTTTACTTATTTACACCTCGTAGCGATTCTACGCTACACATTAGTGTGTTTTTCAAATCAAGAAAACAAAAGTTGACAATATTTGTATTTCATAAAATAATCTTTATTACAACATTGCAATGACCTAAGTGTATTATCAAAAATAAACTTGCCATTCTTTTGTTTATATTTCAAAGATAATTCTTAAAATACGCTTGCCACTGCGTGACACTATTTTGTCATGCCGCGACGCACTTATTTTAGAAACAATTCAAAAAATACAAATTTAAAAAAATGGGTTTAGAACCCTCAATTTTACCCCCTAATTTTGCCCTAATTTTGATCCTTATTATTTTTTTCCGATTTTATAAACGTTTTTTTCATTTTTCTGAAACAAATACTATTGAATTAAAATTTTTTTTAACGTGCATCTAAAATGCTCGAATGGATTAAGATCCCCCTCAAATTTACTCTTTTGCCCCATATATAACATTTAATTATTTATTATTAAGAAAAATACTCTAAAACAAAAAAGATTTCATTTGAGTGGCATAATATAAAACATAGCCACCAGTGTTGTGTATGTTACATAGTTAAAACTGCACTTTTTTTAATGCTAGATAATTTACACTGCAAAGTTGTTTCAAACTTCGCATCAATTGGTAATTTGTGAATTACAAAAGTTGCAAAATATCATTTTTATAGAGGTTTAAAAAATAGGATATTTTACCTCTTTTAAAAATCGTTAAATATTTTTTTAGAGGTTTACACAGTAACTCCTTTGTAGAAAAATGTTGAGGAAAAAAAAAAGTGATTTTATTTAAAAACAGTTATTTTAAAATTTAAAATAAATTTAAAAATAAAGGATATTAAACACCATGTTTCCAAGAACTTTTTTTCCTTTTGAAATAAATAATCATTAAATCAAACTGTAAATGTTTTTAAGTAATAAGAAATATTTGTGTAGAGGATGCCGCGGAAAATACTTATATAGAGCATGACGCAGTTGGCGTTGACAATTTGAATGTTTCTGCAGCTGTTAACACCACAACTTGAGGATACTGCCTAAACGAGCTTGTATCAATGAAATTCTGGGTTGAAAGGAAATTGCAAATTCCCCCTAAACCACTTTTCATTTGTTCTACTGTGTAAAAACTTTGGAAGAGTGTGCGCAGCAGCCAGGGAAGTGCTTTTTTAGTATTAGCTCAAATGTGTTCTTGCGTATTTCAATAATGATATTTCAATATTGGCATTTTATTTTCACATTGATGCATCCAAAGGTTAGAGAAGATGGGTTAGATGAGAGATGAGGCGTAGGAGAAAAACTACTTTTTTTACTGATTCAATTAGAGAAAAGCTCACATTTGAGACATTCCCATAAAATATGTTACTTCATGGCTTTAAAGATTTTTTGTAATCTTAAGAATAATGTGGAGAAACAAGTCAATAAACTGAGATGATTCCATCCATCCAGCTCTTTTTACTTGTTGTATAGATAGCTGCATTGGGGCCATCCTGAATCTAGTTATAGTACATATTTTTTCCTTTTTACTCCGTATAAAGTTTCAGTGTCAAGCTGTTTGCGGACCATGCACAATTTAAAGTTACTTTTTCACGTCTTGAGCCACCAGTGCTCTTAGTTACTCTAGCATCACCTTTTTCTGCTAACAAACATGATAAGACATAACTTAAGTTTTTGGGTAGGCGAAAAAATCTGTTTTATTATAGTTGCATGTTTAACTTGGTAGGCCGCTTTCTCTAAGATCTTGTAGAGTTTTCTCAACCAGTCTATATTAATGATGTTAGGGTCTTCAGCCTAGGCTCTAGTACTACTAGGGTGTTTTACTTTTATTAGAATCACTTTCGTATGGCGTTGCATGCCACACAACTTGTCTCTAATAAGTTGTTTATCAACGAAAGAAATTACAGTATTGTTTTCTTTCACAATTTCCTGTATTATGTCTTTCACTTCCTTTTTATTGAACCTTCAACCTCACTCAACTATAGGGCTGTTGAATATTGTAAAAATGCCTGCCCAGATATCCATCAAACAAGTGGGCGAGTACCCGTTAAAAATTTTTTTTTTATGAAGTTCGTTTTTAAAATTAGTCAATAAAAACTTTTATTTCAACGATGTCATTTATTTAGAAACGTCCTTTTTCACTTATTTCTAAATTTTGTTTTACTTTAAATGTCAAGGTTACACAAGTCCCAGTTACGGTTTAGAAATTTTAGTTAGTCCATTGTTTCGGGTGCCAGATATGTACGCCATTGTTTGACCACATGCCCATTCGTCAAGAGAGCGTGTTCTGATGGCAGTGAAGTCCCAAGAGCACATGTTTTTACGTGCTAAAGTAGCGTAATTATATTTTCTTCCAGATTTCGATAGATTTTTGTCCGAGTGTCAAATTAATAAACAAGTTAGATAAGTTTTACATAAAATAAAACTTGTACTGTGTACATGTTATCTTTTATATAAAACAGAACTCATATTAATTACTGAAGTAATAAAAATAATTATTAAGGAAAAATAAGTAAATATCCAGTGACAGATTCAAGATTTTTTTTTTGATGGAGAGAGGAGGAGGGGGTGGGAGGGAGGCAGGAAGGAGGAGGAGGTGGGAGAGAGGCAGGAAGGAGGAGGCAATATTGAAATATTTTTGTATTTTGTATCACATTTGCGTTTCCTGAAAAAAATGTGTTGCCTATTTCTTAGATATTTTACGACCTTCAGATTCTGGTGGGAGGGATGCATACCCCCATCACCCCTCCCCTGGATCCATCAATGTTGATATCTGAATCAGAAACTCAAATAACTTTTTGAACGTTATATTCAATGTTTCAGAAATTCTGATGGTGATAAAGAAATTGTGAACTATTAAAATTTTAAACAACAAGATATTCAAGATCTTCTTTCACACACCGAGTTAATATTTTCAAACTATTATATTACGATGAATTGGTTTGAAGTTTAAAAATAAATAAAGTGAATTTTTATTATATTTTATAACTTATTATATGATGGTTACCCGTCATTTGATACCCGGGTGGTAACCAACAAGCAGGTACTCGGGTGCCCGTCAAACAAATTTACTCAGCTAAAAAAAAAAGGCAGTCTGCCAGTTCTTCGTTTAGGTGTCAAAGCAGTTTGCCTCCCTGGATGAAAATTTACTGGTATTTTACATCGTACTCTCCTCAAAATGTTTGAATGGTTTGAGGGCATCAATAAAGTACGTCGCAGTAA